GGGGCTAGGGAGGGGTAAGTGGAAGGAGGTGAGGGAGGAATGGGGCACGAGCCCCCAGTGGGGAGGACTGGGGTGGCTCTGCGGGATCCTCAGGGTGGAAGCTCTCCTGCAGCCCCCCGAGTGCCCCTCTCCCAGATGGCAGCCTGCGGCAAGTGCAGCCAGTCTGATGGCCGAGTGGTGTGATGTGCCGAATGTGGGCACTCAGGGCACTCCAAGCCAGCACTGCTTTGCAAGCGGGGCACCCCTGAGAACTGTCTCTCCGGGGTGGGGGTCGGGTCCCTTTAAGCACAGCCCTTGGCTAGCCTGAGACAGCAGCTCCACGCTCTAAGTCCTAATCTGATGCCCTGCCGGCACTGCTTCCGGCCATCCTTAACCTTGGTTCAGGGTCCACTCAATGTGGACATTCTAGTTCGAATTAGCGAAATGCTAATTCGAACTAGTTTTTAGGTCTAGATGCACTAGTTCGAATTAGCTTAGTTCGAATTAACTAATTCGAATTAAGTTAGTTCGAATTAGTGCTGTAGTGTAGATGTACCCTTAGATTATAAATTTTGTACTTGCATTTCAGTGTATACTATAAAGAGCAGTATAAACAAATCATTGAATGAAAATGTACTGACTTTGCTATTGCTTTTCATATAGCCTGTTGTAAAACTAGGTATATATCTAGATGAGTTGAGTCATGCCTAGAAGATCCCTGCATACACCCCCCATGTGCATACACATTCCTCTGGGTGAGAACCACTGCCCTGAATGAAGGAAAAGGCAGCAGTAGAATTTTCACTTACTGTGTTTGAGTCAAGTAGGGCAGCTGGGTCACTGTCTATCAGCTTTCCCTGTCCTGCCCTGCCAGCTGTCAACACAGAATGATCACCATGTCCTGCCAGCGGGAAGCAGAAGCTGGGAAACCTAGAATATGTCTTAAATGCAAATCTGTGTGTTATTTACTCGATTGTGTGGGCTTTATAATGCAGGGGCAGCTGGCATAATAGGTGGGGGAAGGCATTGCCTTTCCAAACCCCCTGCCTGGCCCCACCCATACTCCACCTCCAGAACGCCTATTCTAGGCATACTGGGAGTGGAGCATTACTGCCTCTGAGCACCCCCCGTCCCCATGCTCCAGGGACAGTGAAGCTGGGGCTGTGTGCCACCCCACCTCCCTGTGGTGCTGGGGGTAGGAGAGGAGAGGGGAGCTGAGCAGAAGGAGCAGAGCTGGGGCAGGACCTGCCTCCCCCAGCTCTACCTTCACCCACCACCCATATTATTGTGGCTCTTGTACAATTAATTATCAGGCACTTAAAGCCTTATTTGTGAGGCATTTTAAAAATTGCTCCTTAAATAATTTCAAATATGAAAAGCCTCATGGGCTTTTGTCAGGAAGCCCTTCCTCCATTTACAAAGGGTTGTTGAGATTTGCATCACATTGTACTGAACTAATCTACTACAGGAAATCCCCTTTTACCACATCTGGAGTGGCAGCCAGAGGGCTCTGCACTGCACCTTCTCCCTGGAGAGATACAGCCTGGCTTCCACAGAGCTCACCTGCAAGATCTGCGTCCGGCAGGTAGAAGGGGAAGGGCAGATATTCCAGCTGCACACGACACTCGGAGAGGTGAGCAAAGAGAAGGGGGAGAGAGCAGGGAGCCGTGCCCACTGATAGTTATAGTTGGGAGGGCAGAGGAAGGACCAGGGTATTTAAGGTTGGTCTGATAATGTCTCTTCTGAGGGTAATGACCTGAACCCCCAGGCCCTGATTCTGGTCTGAGTTTTACACCAGAGTAATTCTGTTGACGTCAGTGGAGTGAGACCTGATACGTGTGGTACAAGTGAGATCAGAATCAGACTCTCAGTTAGCTCAAAGAAAGCCGATGCTGTTGCCTCAGGGGTAGGGTTCCCTTTTGCCACTCTTGTTAAATAAAAGAATAACACCAGCCTGTTTCTTTAAATGTCCATTGCCGTGTTGCAGCTGTCGCCATAGATACTAGCCTAGGGATCAACAAGGCTCAGCTACAGCCCTCTGTGGATGCGTCCACTCTGCTAATTACTAAAGAGGAGGTCCCCCATCCGCTCTAGTAACAGTGAAGACTAGAAATGGTCTTCGGATGTCCTCAGTGAATTCCTGGATTTAGGGATTTGAGCTTCTCTCTCTTAACCTGTATAATTAATAATCTAGTGTAGTACCCCCCCTCAATGTTTTATATCTATGGATGCCAAGATAATACCTGTGTTGACCATGCCCCCGTGTTTCTTAGGTCTGTGGTTCAATCAGAGATTTGTCTCGCACTCCGAGATCAAGGCTTGTAAATGAACTATCCTCTTCTGCTCCCAGGCTACTTGTGGAATGGCAAGGCAGTGCAGGGAAACTGGCACTTGCTCTCCCTGCCATTACCTGATAAATAGTGAACCTTCAGTGTCTAGGTCTGTCTCCCTGCCACCTTTCACCAGCACTGCATTCACTTCAGGGGAGGGGAAAGGATGACAGAAAAAAAAGAACCATTAAATTGAATGGTCGTCCAGTTACAACTGTTGCTGAGATACCAGCAGAGTCTGGCAGGAAAAGCAAAGAGTTAGGTTGTGATAACATTTTGTTACCAGAGCGATTCAGAATCCTGATTTTGAAAATATTGATGAGATGCTGATTTTTGATACATGAGCAACCCCTAGGACACTCAGCTGCAGCTCCCTAAATAATCCCACCCCACCTCTGCTGTGTATGAATGTTGTTTTCCAGAGGCTGTTTTGGGGATGGCACTAAAATGCTAGTTGGCACTTTCCCCACTCAAAGCCAGGTGAAAGTGTGTGCTAACCAATGAGAAGGAAGTAAATGAAGAGGCTGAGAGCTGGCTTTTGGAACCACTGCACTTGGAAGAGTCGCTGGGAATTTCAGGGCTTTAATATTTATGCCTCCCTGAAAATGTGCTTGAATGCTACTGGCTCTGCTCCAAATTGTTTAGCCACATGCACTGATATTTGAAGGTTGCTTCCGACTGGGTTCACTGGAGGGACCCTTGGGGGAAGAGCTCAGTGTCACTAAGAACTAGCTGCTTCACTGTTATTCTTTGTGGCATGTTATCCACCTCTCTCTTTTGTTTCTGTTCTTAGACATCTGTGCCTAATGCATTTTAGTGAATGTTACCATCTTATATCTCTCTCTCCCTGTCCTGATCAATGTTGTCTTTTTTTTTTTCATCTGTCTGAATTTCTCTGTGATCCAGAGTTATCTTTGCTGCTGGATTGTTTGTGAAAGCACTGCTGAAATTCCACATAAAGAAAAAGGCATCCCTGCTCTTGGACAGGAATGCACAGACCCCGAATTGTAGGCAGGATAAAGTAACATGGGGACACACCAGTGCAAGCTGATAAGGAAAGAATTCTCCATTGAAATCCTTTTTTCCCCTCCAGAATGCCAGCTCCTTTGATGCCTTCTGCTTGCACCATGGCAGTTCTGTGACAACCCAGCTGGGACCCTATGCCTTCAAGATCCCGCTATCCATCCGGCAGAAAATTTGCAACAGTCTTGATGCTCCCAATTCAAGAGGAAATGACTGGAGACTTCTTGCTCAGAAACTTTCTATGGATCGGTGGGTTTCAGTTCAGTGAATGGCTCTAGATCGGGGTGGGGAACTTAAGGCTCAGGGACCAGATGCAGCCCCCAGCTTGCCTTGATACAGCCCCCGAGGTTTGGGGCTCCCCCCAGCATTGTAGAGCCATGCTGGCTCTCCAGCCCCTCACTGTCTCGCTGTGGGGCTGGAGCACGTCTATCAGAAATAGCCTGAAAGAACAGATTTGCCCTAGTCTCCAGAAGATGCTCTTACAGTATCATTAAGCCACAAGGAACAATTACTGACTCACAGGGCCAGCTTTGGGAAGTGTTCAATTTGCACATACAGGTGACAGCTCTCTGGTCCAGCACCCTTGGGACCAGAGTGGAGGTCAAGGCTCCCTGTACAGCTGTAGGCTCTGTTCCTGGCTGGGGCTGCACTCCCTGCCGCTGCCTCCAGCCCAGGTTGGGGCACCACCCCCCAAAGCACCAGCCCAGGCTGAGTGCCCACTGCTGGCCCTGCTGACTTCAGCCCCGATTGGGGCTGCTCTCCGCTGCCAGCCCTGGCTGAGGCTGTGCCCCCCTCAATACACCAGCCACAGCTGGGACTGCATTTCCCACTGTGCTAGGCCCAGCCAGGGCTCCACTTCTGGCCAGTGGCCCCACTGACTCCAGCTCCAAGGGGGGCTGCACTCCTCACCACCAGCCTTAACCAAGGCAGCACCTCCCATCCTGCCAGCCCTGAGCGAAGCTATGCTCTCCACCGCGCTGGCCTGTCTGCTCACCGCCCGACATCATGGATGTGGAGAGTCCTGGATTTTAGAGGTTTATCCTGCACTGTGAAGCCTTGAGGGGGGTGTCTGTGACCAACAACACAGAAACTAAGCACAGCAATTTGGGAATCCAGCTGATGACGTGAAGCCAGCAAGTATCAATGCTAGTGGGCTTATGAGGGAAGGGAGAGGGAAGGAATAGGGTGTGAAGAAGCAGGGGGAGCCTGCAGCTTCCACTGGCCTCTAGGCAAGTTGGGGGTGGGGGTGGGGTTGGGGAGGGCAGATGCTCTGTGCTCCCAGAAGGAACAGGGCTGAGGGTAGCCAGGCCTCAGCACTGTCTGGAGTACACCACACCGGCCCCCAGGCAGCCCTTTGTGCTGCCCAGAGCATGTGGTGTGGCACTCTGGCAGTGATTTAAAAGGCTCAGGACTCTGGCTGCTGCCTCTGCTACTGTGGCAGTGGCTGGAGCCCTGGGCCCCTTTGAATCATTGGGCCCTGGGGCAACAATGGCTCCTTTTAACATACAGGACACCCTTGTCAGCGGGACTGGAAAGGAGACACAAAAATGAAGCCCCGGCGACTCAGAAAGAACACTGTGTAGCACTAGGATGTGCAGTCAGGAACTACTTTAGCCTCACAATCCAGGCTGAGGTAGGGCTGTGCTAGTGTGTCTGCTCTGCAGACAGAGAGATGAGGCACAGAGAGGGTGAAACAAGTTCAGTAATGGTGCACAGTGATTCAGTGCTTGAGAGAGCCCGTGCAGGAGCTCGAGTCCTAACCCTGTGTTGGTTGTGCTTGGCCTCTGTGTCTTTAGACCTGGAGGGTGGGAAGTTGCTGTTGCTTGTTGGGTTTTAATGGTTCTCCCTTTGATTGGCACTCTAGAGCCCTGAAGGATGGGCTGGCGGAACATTCCAAGCCTTCTGCCATGTTTGGGCAAAGCAAGTGCTTCACACCAGAGACCTTGACTGCTCTTGAACTCTTAGGCTGTGCTGGTTTAGGATCTCACTTTGGGGTCAGGGGTGGAGAGAGCATTTGTAATGTTAATAAAATAAAATTCCTTGTCTTGCTTTTCCATTAATGTTTTCTGCATCAGTGCTGTATAATAAATGCAGATGATGCCCTGAGGGGCCCTGCATTTTAATTCCGGCATTTCCATCTCAGTGCATATCAGAAAGAATTACCCACATTTGCTCCAGAGTCTAATACCCTGGCCTCCTTTCCCAACATTTTCTTCTGCTGCTCTTGGACCATACCAGCAGGGATACCCTCCTAGCAAGTAGATGTGTAACGTTAGAAACCTGCTCACATTCTCTCTCCTCCTTCACAGGTATCTGAATTACTTTGCCACCAAAGCCAGCCCAACAGGAGTGATCCTGGACTTATGGGAAGCCCAGCACCAGGATGATGGTGATCTCAATACCCTGGCTAGTGCCTTGGAAGAGATGGGCAAGAGTGAGATGCTGGTTGTCATGGCAACAGAGGGAGACTGCTGATGTTACTTTCAAGTAGCCAGTAGGAAATGGATGAGGAGGACCGAGTGTGGAGGGGGAAGGGAGGAGGAGGAGAAGGAGGAAGATAGGGAACGGCCTTTCCTGAAGGGAAAGGTGGTGGGGACAAGGGCAGTTTCTGCTTTGTCTGGTGGGTTGCTGATCTGTAGCTAACAGTAAGAGGTAGACTCCTTCTCCCACTCCTTCCTCAACAAGTCACCATCCGCCTTAGAGATCCGACTACACCGTTTACAAGCAATCCAAGTGTTAAACAGGCTCCCTCCTCCGCCTGGCCATCCTCCAGAGTGCGGCGCGAGAGCAATGCATCTTTGGTGACCGTGATGACAGCCATTGGTGAAAGTGGGCAGCTGCTTCTGCCACAGCATGCAGGAATTAGGGCTTCTAGAGTCTGGGTTGAGGTTTATTTTTATTTCATTTATTGGGGCTGCCTCCCCCACTCTCCCTTTGTTCTTCTTTAATAGCATTTATGCTTAAAAGACTTAAGTACAATCTAGACAAACTGCTTTCTTCTGTCAAATGCTTCAGACAGCTTATTAAGGGGAAAAAAGGAAAAAAACACAGTTTCTTAGGAAACGCAAATAATTTATTATCCAGATCTTTGGATGAGTCCTTTTTAAAAAAAACAACCATAAACATTAAGTCTTTTGTGTGTGAGCAAGAACATTGATCCACTTTGTGTGAGAATGAGTGAGAGAGAGAGAGAGAGAGAGAGAGACTTAATAATGAACACACACAAAAAGTTAAGAACAACTTGTTTCTGTATTTGGACCCTTGCTGAAGTCAGATTGGTTAAGTGCCTAGAGACCCACGTGGCATAGAAAGGGCAAGCTGAGCCCTCACTGTAACATCTTATTTGCAAATTCTCCTTTATGGCTGCAGCACAATGCACAGGAGGCCACTCAAGCAACCAGCTCACAGAAGAACAAACCCATTTCTGGAAACAAGGTTAAAGGGACATTGTTGCTCATTTCGTGGTTTTCTTCAAACTACAACTAAAGTCCTCAGAATTATTTCCAGGACCGATAAAGAAGCTGAAACCTCAAACAGCCTCCCCCCAGCCTCTGGCCCTACACTTTACAGGGATTATCCACTCCCATACCCATCTTGCGTCTGTTTGAATCAGAGAGAAGAGTGTGGCTTCATAGAATTAGTTTCTTTTTGTGTGCACCAGTGTCATCATTTCAATGGAATGATAATGAACAAAGGAATCTTTCAGCTGCAAATCAGGAAAAAATGTATTCATTGTTGGAGTGTGGAAGTTTGTCCCAGAAGGAGCAGGAGACACCCTCAAATGTGAAGTTTTAAGACTAGACTGAAGGAAATTGGACAAGATGAGCGCTACTTGTAATGGGCCCTTTCCTGGTTCCTATGCAATCAGTATAGCTCTGGGAGTTTCTTTTGTTAGTTAGCTGAGTGTACAGCCTGCAAGGGGAGGACAAGAGGCTACAGAAGAGGGCTGGTGGTAACCTATTTATGTGGATTGTTTAGGAGGGAAGGTTAATGCTTAGGCACAGTGGAGAATTTAATTGAAAACTATTTATGATTTATGGGACACCTTCCATCAGATTATTACAATTCTGGGATGGGTCAGATTTTGGAGCCCAAAGTATTTAAGATCTGTATTTTTAGAGGAAATTCTTTTAGGACTTTTGGGAACGAAAAGGATAAATTTCATCTCAACAACATAAATACAAACTTTCATGGATACAGTCAAGCACTAACACACAGCTGCATACCGCCACCCATAAACCAAGACTCTAGAAAATGGGAGTCTAAAGTTAGGCACCTAAATCTTTTATTTCGGCACTTGAAGCGAGTGGGCAGATTTTCAGAAATGCTGAGTGTGTCATGATTCCTAATGGGAGGCCAGCTGTTGAGTACAAAGGGTCTATTTTTACAAAGCAAGGTTCAGTGGCCTGGGATGTAGAGATTAATTTGAAGACTATGTTATTTTAAAGTCCTCATAATCAAATCCATCTTTTGATAGAATGTTTCACAGAATCTTACTTTGATAAATATTCTTGTTCTGAACACTGGCCAAGAGACCATAAACAGTAGTACATCAAGTAGCAGAGTTGTTTGGCATGGTCCTACAGTGGGCAGTGAACTGTAAAAAAGAATAACCAGCACGTTAATGAAATTCACAAGTGATACTAAACTGGAATGTGTTGCAAATACCAGTGAAGAAAGAGAACTAATACAAAGGGAACTTGGTGAGATTAGAAACTCTGTTTGAAGATAGCAAAATTAGAATAAAATTGAAAAATGCAGCCGTTGTAGCTGCAGAAAAAGATAATCTGAGACACAAACTCATTGGGAAAGAGAGAACTTGCAGGCACTGATGCTGAATGGAATTGTGGAGTTGGGTGGGGGGAGAAGATAAGAGAACACTGCAGATTAAACATTTGCAGCACCCTGTGACAGCAAAAATTATCAATGCAACACAACTGCATGTGCAATTAGGTCAGGGTGCTTTCTGTGGCTATCACTGTGGCATACTGGAACTTAACGAACCGTTTTAAACTACGCCGGACAAATACTAGAATATGTATAGTGGGAAATAATCCCTCACTGATCTGTCTGGGTAAACTCATTTGTCAGGGAAGGATAGCATCATGGAGCTCAGTGCTTCTCCCACTTTGATCTTAGCAGTTCCTTTCTTTTCTGCATTAAAAGTGTGGTGTTTAAATGAAAGTTGGCTACATAACAAAGCTGATTTTAATTAAGGGGTATCCATGAATACAATGTAAGTTTCACTCCAGGATGTGGTATTTTAATGAAGGGAAAATATTTTGAAGGGTATTTTGAATAGCCACAAGTGGAAATATTTTACTCTGGTTGCTGCCTCTTAAAAGTTTGTCCTCCAAGATAAACACATCATGACACAAACAGCAACAGAGAGTCATATTGTGATGATGGCACATTTGCTCTTAAACCCCAAAACCTCTTACCACAAGATCTTTGTGGCCAATAATTTAAAACTTTACAGCATACAATAAGCTTCCCATCATTCATTACCCCATACTCCCTCCAGTCTGCCCTCTGTGGTATGGTGATATAGCTAAAGAAAAAGTAAACACAAACTCAGGGAGCCAAGCACATAATATAAGAAGACATTGCCTCTAAAGGATAGCTTAGTATTTCCTCAGGGTCTAAACCTCCAGTTGCATAATTCTTTAGCACACAGGTACTTACAAGCCTGTTTCCATCTCTAATGTTTCTAAATTGGCAGCAGACAGTAGCAGAAAGGACCCACGGACAGAGAACACAGGCAATGCTCGTTCTGTTTAATCACATTGGAAATGGATGGATTGATTGTACAGAGGTACCATACAGTGGCAGAACGAATCAACCCCAGTCCTGAAACTTAATTGAAAAGGACTATCTCAGAGCTTGGAGCCTGGCTTATGTGTAGAAGAGGCTGTACCTTCTTGCCTGATTAGTCAGATAGAAGCAATTCTGGATTTTGAATTTTGTTTTTTATGTATACAGAGACCATTTTTATGGTGTAAATCACAATCAATGTTCTTCAAAAGTCATTTTATAAAGACTTTTTGCCAATGCTGTGGCTATTTTCTTTTAGCTGTGCACTTGCGTTGTGAATTTCATATCATGGGTGTAATTCACAAACAATTTTATTTCAAATACAAAATGTGCATTCATTACTATTTATATTAAATTTCACTTTCCCCTTTTTAACTTCAAAACTCTTAAAGCCTGAAATAACTGTATATATCTGTAGGTAATATACAGATCTGGATAAGTATCCAAAGTTGTGGATTTATATCTTTAAAATAATCGAAGGCTCAAAACTGACTACTTGGCTAGATCAGATACTCCAACATAACTGAATTTTTTTTTTTGTGTAGCTGGTTTTTGTTTGCTTGTTTGTTTTTAAAGACTTCCATGGGCAAACAGTGTGGCTGCATGGTATTCAGGAAGTTTGACAAATATGACTTTTCTCCACCACAATTCCATTTCACAATACTGGGGAAGGCGTTGGGAGGAGAGCCCCGATCTTATCTGACATTTCATTGTGTTAGTACATTAGTTTTCAATATGTTGCATAGACTCAGCTAGAAACTAAGGGCCTGCTCTAGTTCCTTTTAGTCAGTGACTTCCATTGATTTTGGTGGAAGTCAAATATGGCTGTAATACAGGGAATGAGTTTTTCCAGTCTGTTTGACTCCATTTCATAATCTGATTTGTTGAAATCTTGCCTGTAATCTGAACAAGCAAATACAGGAAGTAATGTAGGAAGCGATAAAGCACTAAACAAATATTTTAAAAGCTACCATAAATAACCAGCCATTGCGTCTTTTCTTAGAAAGTCAATGGTGTCCATGAAATGTATCCTCACTGTGCTTCTCTTGGAACACAGGTGTAGATTGTCAACCTATCTCTCTCTCCCCCTTTCTCTCATTAAAGGATCATGGTGTGTCAGTCTCACTCTCAAATCAGTGTGTGGGTGAGATTAAAAAATCAATGTGTGTTTGTGTCCCCTCTTCTCTGGCTATAGACCCAGAATGTCTGAGTACATGCTTTTCTCTCTCTCGATCACTCTGTATGCTTTTCTTAGTCTTTCAGATTAAGGGAGCTGTGTGTATGTAAGGGGTAGGAGGAGGGAAGGAAGGTACTTCTCTCCGATCAGTGTGCATGTGTTCTGTCCCCCTCTCTGGCTCTCTCTCTTGGACCATGGGATTATAGTGTATGTGGTGCTCAGATCACTGTGTCAGAGTGTCCCAAGCCTTCTCCCTTGGTCATATGTGTATGTATCTCTATCTCTTGGAGATGCACTACACTATGATCACACAAAGCGGGGCAGCAGTTTTGTGATACTGGACAGGCATTTCATAGTTTGAGTGAAAAAAACCAGCTGCTGTTTCTCTTTTTGAGAGTGTCCATTCTCTTGCTCTGTATTCTATTTGCATATTTATATGTCATGGGATGAGTCTGGCAGCATCCTCCAAACACACATCTGTTTATTCTGTAAACTAAGAACTGTAAATAAAGTTTAGCATTCCTATTGTAACAAAGTAATTTTTATGCAATAAATTATATTTCCTAGTCTAATTAAAAATGTGTTTTGCTGCTTTATTCCTATTTCAATTCCAGGTGGATTTGGCTGTAGCAGGTTTTATTTCTAGGAACATTGAATCTTGGTTTCACTGCACAGCACTTGCTTTCTGTTGTGTCTAGAGGCCCTTCCTAGCCCACTACTATGCAAGGGTATGTCTACACTACAAAGGTAATTCGAACTAACAGACATTAGTTTGAATTAACTTTGATAGGCGCTACACATGCAAACCGCTAGTTCGAACTTAATTCGAACTAGCAGAGCGCTTAATTCGAACTAGGTAAACCTCATTCTACGAGGACTAACGCCTAGTTTGAATTAACTAGTTCGAATTAAGGGCTGTGTAGCCACTTAATTCGAACTAGTGGGAGGCTAGCCCTTCCCAGCTTTCCCTGGTGGCCACTCTGGGCCCCACCAGGGAAACTCTTCTGCCCTCCTCCCGGCCCCGGAGCCCTTAAAGGGGCACGGGCTGGCTACGATGCCCGTGCCAGTTGCAAGCCTGCCAGCACCCAGCCAGCAGACCCTGCACCTGGCACGGCTCAAGCTAGCCACCTGCTGCCACCCAGCCCTCCGCCTCTTCCTGGGACCAGGCTGGCGGCTCCCGGGAGCCTGCCCAGGTCCACAAGAGACGGGCGCCCGCCTGGTCTAGTGCAGAGATCGTGGACCTCATCCACAACCTCCGCACTAGGCACAGGAAAGTGGCTGTCTAGGGCAGGATAGCTGCCAGCCTGGCCACCCAGGAGCAGGTTGGCATGAAAATCAAGGTGGTCCACTGAGACCCCCGACCCTGAGCCCTGATATTAGAATGGCCATAATGGGTAAGACCAAAGGTCCATCTAGCCCAGTAGCCTGTCTGTCAACAGCGGCCAACACTAGGTACCCTGGAGGGGATGGACCGAAGACAATGACCAAGCCATTTGTCTCGTGCCATCCATCTCCAGCTTTCCACAAACAGAGGCCAGGGACACCATTTCTACCCCCTGGCTAATACCACTCCATGGACCCAACCTCCATGAATTTATCTGACTTCTCTTTAAACTCTGTTCTAGTTCTAGCCTTCACAGCCTCCTGCAGCAAGAAGTTCCACAGGTTGACTATTTGCTTTGTGAAGAAGAACTTTCTGTTATTAGTTTGAAGCCTGCTACCCATTAATTTCATCTGATGTCCTCTAGTCCTTCTATTATGGGAACTAATGAAGAACTGTTCTTTATGCACCCTCTCCACACCACTCATGCTTTTATAGACCTCTATCATATCCCCCCTCAGTCTCCCCTTTTCTAAGCTGAAAAGTCCCAGTCTCTTTAGCCTCTCTTCATATGGGACCTGTTCCAAACCCCTAATCATTGTACTTGCCCTTTTCTGAACCCTTTCTAAGGCCATATCTTTTTTGAGGTGAGAAGACCACATCTGTAGACAGTTCTGAAGATATGGCGTACCATAGTTTTATACTTCCCCTCCTCCTTCTTCCCCTGGCTTCCCTGCGGGATCCTCGGGGTGGAAGCTCTCCTTCAGTCCCCCGATTGACCCCCCTCCGGATGGCAGCCTGCGGCAAGTGCAGCCGGGCTGATGGCCGAGTGCTGTGATGTGCCGAATGTGGGCACTCAGGGCACTCCAAGCCAGGACTGCTTTGCAAGCGGGGCACCCCTGAGAACTGTCTCTCCGGGGTGGGGGTTGGGGTCCCTTTAAGCACAGCCCTCGGCTAGCCTGAGACAGCAGCTCCACGCTCTAAGTCTTAATCTGATGCCCTGCCGGCACTGCTTCCGGCCATCCTTAACCTCGGTTCAGGGTCCACTCAGTGTGGACATGCTAGTTCGAATTAGCAAAACGCTAATTTGAACTAGTTTTTAAGTCTAGATGCGCTAATTCGAATTAGCTTAGTTCAAATTAACTAATTCGTACTAAGTTAGTTCGAATTAGTGCTGTAGTGTAGACATACCCCAGTACCTTTCCAATGCTCCTTCTGTCCATCACCATCTGCACCTGTCAGTCATTGCTGGAGAAGATCTCCTCAGTGCTGTTCCAGCCAGATAGAAGAGAGAGTTGGACTGGAACATAACTGGGTGTGCAGTGTGGGCTGGTATGAGCAATTCCCTCACCTTCCCTGGTAGCTGAAGCTTCATTAATCTCATTCTCGCAGATGGGCAAACTGATTTCTCTTGACTCTGGTTCTAGAGGTCCATTTGCCCCACACACCATAACCAGATCCTGGCCACCTTTCCAACCACCCAACACCAGGTGCATACCAGCTTCCCTTTCAGAAATGTGTTGCAAGCTCCAGTGCTTCTCTGAAGCCACATGCCCTTTTTTCCTTTTGGCCAGGCTGTTTTGCACTCCAAATTTGACACTGAAGGCATCTGGTTCCCAGCACACAACCGTGCCTCTGAAAAGGGAAATGGCCCATGAAGCTCTAGAAAGCAGGAGTTAGCATTAGAACTGGTTGGGATTTTGTTATTTTTCATCAAAAGATGCCAATTCATCAAAACCAAAACTTCATGAAACAGCATCAGATGCAATATGTTTCCTAACTCAGAAAAAAGTCAGAAAAGTTTTAATGCATTTTGTTTTTACATTTTAAAAATCAAAAAAGTCTTTAAAAGTCAATTCAGTCTAAGCTAATTAGACTGAAAAAATGTTTTAAAAGCAAAACAAAACATTTCAAAAATACCATAAAACACTAGAAGACTTACCTGGTGTTGCTTGGGTCCTTCAGAGTAGACGGCTGGTGGTGTGGGGGATGCAGGAGTCAGGGTAGGAGGTGAAGAGGGATTCAGCTGGGGTGAAGATTTGAAAGAGGTGGAGGGCTTAGGGGGTGCCCACCAGCTTCTCCTTGGGGCGGGGGAGGGGATGCGCACCCCGTTCACTGGGTTGTCCTTTTCGACAAGCGATGGCAGTGGAGCTCAGAATGGGGGGAGCCATACAAGCCAGCTTCACTAGCACTTCCTGGTTCTGAGGTGCAGAGGGGGGCACGCAGGCCGGCCCCATCGGCACCTCCAGGTCCAGATGACAGAAGAGGGAACTGCTTAGGCCAGGGGCAGGTGCGCTGGGTGCCTCGGTGCTGGGGAGGGCAGTGGACTGTGGCTTCTTGTGCTCCTAGGATGATGGGGGAGGCCGCAGTGGTGGGATCAGCAGAGCTTCCCCCTCCCAGTGTGGTTTGGGGTAGGGGACCACTTACCTGGGCTGGTGGCCAGCAAGATAGGGAGCCACTGTCTTCCTTGTGTGGCCGCCCCCCAGTGGTCACTCTGCAGTATAGCTTGTACCTCCCTTTCCATGTTAAGGAAAACAATTCCAGGCACATCCCATTTTCCTGGCACAACTTCTATGAGGAGTAACGGTAGTTCGAGTTAGAAAGCCTAATTCGAACTACCTACTCCGTGCCACGTGTAGCTGCGGGCACGGAGTCTGCACTAACGGGGATTTAAAAATGGCGGCGCCCGGCAAGATGCAAATGAAGCCCGAGATATTTAAATCCCGGGCTTCATTTGCAACTTTGAATGCCTACATTAGCCACCCTAGTTCGAACTAGGGTGGCAGTGTAGACATACCCTGAGTAGCTTATGGGGGCATATGCTGAACTTTACTTGGGAGTGCAAGTCTCTTAATTTACTACTAAGTTCTGACCTAAAAAGAGTGAGCTATTCCCAACTTATTTGTATAGAACATTAAACCCTGTGCTTGAGCTGGCTGTGCTGAGCCAAAATCAGCCTCTATGGCTGTGATGCTTGCAATTTTTAGGTAAATTAGGGGTAGCACCATAAAAAGTAGTGGTGGTCATCAGTGCTTTAGCCACTGTGTCATTTAGACCTCTGCTTAGAAGAATTAGATGATACGGTGTTTAAAATGGTGGGCAGATGCAGAAGCATTGTCTACATTAGTGCACCTGACTGCCATCACACATGGAGGTGAACTAGGGGCAATCTTTGCAAAAAGTGTAATGCAGAGTCTAGAGACAGCTCATGGGCCAGTGGGCTGGTTCATTACTTCACTAATTGGGTTAATGGAGCTGTGACAGGGTGCAGTCACAGAAGATCCCTTGGGGCTGTTTCCCAGTGTGCTGAAAAAGCCATTGACACTTGACTTCTTGCCCTCAAGGGGCTCCTCACCACCCTTTCCTGTTGGGACAGATCTCCTGGTCTCCCCCAGCCAAGGCACAGGCACCAGCGCCTGGGAGGCCCAAGCTAGTAGATTTTGTTTGCTCCAGCCGGGTGGGGGTGGGGGCAAGCTGGAACACCAGTGTAAACTCTCCATTGCTGGGGGGATCTCTGAGCCTCAGGAGCTGGATCCAGGTAAGCCAGAGGCCAAATCCGCCCCTCAGACCTTAAGTCCTCCCCCCACACACACACAATTTAAGTGATTATAATTGAAAACAGACAGAGCAAAGTTAGTTGCAAATTTAAAATAAAATGCATGCCTAGTTCTAACACATTAAAGTGTATTATAAACTTAATCTAAAACTGTTCTTATTTCAGGCAAATCTTCAAGTCAGAGATCTTTTATTCTGACCTGGATCATTGGCTCTGTTCGGTGTGTCATGCCAGCCAAAGACAGAGACTGCTAGCTTTCTAGCTTAAATAGACTTCCTTTAGCGTGAGAATCTTTTGTTGCGCATATTTGTATCCATAAGACAATTTCATACAATGTGTGGGGAAGGGCAGGAGGGAGGGACAGAGGAAGGACTGTCATAGCAGCCACCTCCAACACAGGAAGTGGCAGCTGTTCAACAGTGCGGAGCAACACTATGAATAGTTTTGGGTGGGAAGTGAGGGTCAGATTTCCTAGCGAGGTTGTGGAATTCCTATCTCTGGAGATTTTTAAGAATAGGTCAGAAAGATTTCCTAGTGAGGTTGTGGAATTCCTGTCTCTGGAGATTTTTAAGAATAGGTCAGACAAATTTCTGTCAGGAATGGTGTAAGTGTAGTCAAGCCTGCCTCGGCATAGGGGGCAGATTAGATGACCAGTCAAGCAAAGTTTGTTCCAGCCCTACACTTCTATGATTATGTAGATGA